AGATTGCGATTGTTCAAGTTCGATTGATTAGGAAACGGGTACCAGTTACTGCCGAGGGACCAGACATCGACTATTCAACATTTTGTTACCAAGACTTTTGACTCTCCCAAGTCGTTGCTACTATATGGAGAGAGGAGAGTACTATTCACTTCTTTTTCAGATCAATAACATATTTGTAAAGATCATTTATCAGACAAGTCTTGCAAAAAACCATGAATAGGTTTGTACTATTGTTTCTTTTTCTACTGCAATTCTTCTCCAACAAAGCAGATTCTCAGCGTGCAGAAGGAGAGTTCGGCTTCAATGGCTACTTGTACGACAGCTACGGAATTGCCACTCTTGACTCCAATGGCTTAGTGGAGCTAACCAATACGACAGTTCAAAAAACTGGTCAAGTTTTCTACAATTTCCCCGTTCGGTTCAAGACCTCAACACACAGTACTGTTTCTTCTTTCTCAACCACCTTTGTTTTCGCTATAGTCTCTCAGATTCCAATACTTAGTGGCCATGGGATTGCTTTTGCCATCTCTCCTACCAAAGGCTTGCCCTATGGTCATCCTTCACAATATCTGGGGCTCTTTAATATCTCAACCAATGGAAATTCCTCTAATCATGTTGTAGCAGTTGAGTTTGATACAATCCTAAGCACAGAATTTAGTGACATAGATGATAACCATGTTGGCATCGACATCAATAGCTTGAAGTCAGTGAAAGCTTCTACAGCAGGTTATTACGAAGACGATGGTACTTTCAGGAACATCTCTCTTATCAGCGGAAAACCGATACAAGCATGGGTTGAATATGATTCCTCAAGAAAACAACTTAATGTCACACTTCATCCTATTCATGTCTCCAAGCCAAAGATTCCACTGCTTTCTCTAACCAGAGATTTATCCCCATATCTCCTAGATTCTATGTACGTGGGATTCACTTCATCCACAGGCTCTGTTCTTTCAGCTCACTATATTCTGGCTTGGACCTTCAAGGTCAATGGGAAAGCTTCAAACATAGATCCATCTCGTCTTCCTAAACTTCCTAGAAAATTTCAAAGTGACTCTCCGAGTAGTCTTAGAAAGATCTTGGCTATCACTTTGAGTCTAACCGGCTTCGCTGTTGTCGTCTTCTTCACCATAAGTTTTAGGCTTTTCTTAAAAAGGAAGAAGTTAATGGAAGTTCTTGAGGATTGGGAGGTTCAGTTTGGTCCACATAGGTTTGCTTACAAGGATCTCTACATTGCCACAAAGGGTTTCAAGAACAGTGAGCTTCTTGGTAAAGGAGGGTTTGGAAAAGTTTACAAAGGTACATTATTGACGTCTAACATGGACATCGCGGTGAAGAAAGTTTCTCATGATTCGAGACAAGGAATTAGAGAGTTTATCGCCGAGATCGCGACTATTGGCCGTCTTAGACATCCTAATCTAGTTCGGCTTCTTGGTTACTGCAGACGCAGAGGCGAACTCTATTTGGTCTACGATTGTATGCCAAAAGGCAGTCTTGATAGGTTCCTCTACCACCAACCGGAACAGAGTCTTGATTGGTCACAAAGATTCAAGATCATCAAAGATGTAGCTTCTGGTCTCTGTTATTTACACCAACAATGGGTTCAAGTTATTATTCACAGGGACATTAAGCCAGCAAATATCCTTCTTGATGAGTCTATGAACGCAAAGCTCGGTGATTTCGGTCTTGCGAAGCTCTGTGAACACGGGGTTGATCCACAAACCTCTAACGTGGCGGGTACCTTTGGATACATCTCACCGGAGCTTTCGAGAACAGGAAAGGCAAGCACAAGCTCTGATGTATTCGCATTTGGAGTGTTCATGTTAGAGATTACTTGCGGGAGGAGACCCGTCTTGCCACGAGCTTCTTCGCCGAGCGAGATGGTTCTTACGGATTGGGTTCTAGAATGTTGGGAAGATGATATATTGCAAGTGGTCGATGAGAGGGTTAAGCATGACAACAAGTACCTTGAGGAGCAAGTAACACTGGTTCTGAAGCTTGGTTTGCTCTGTTCGCATCCAATTGCAGCCAATAGACCAAGCATGTCGAGCGTCGTTCAATTCTTGGACGGTGTGGCTCAGCTACCTCATAACTTGCTTGACATTGTGAAAGCTCGAGAAATTGTTGGAGCCACTGGTGAAGAAGAAGCTGAGTCACCTGCGCAGCCAAATTCGGTGGGTACGTTGACGTTCACGGAACCATTTGTCTCGCATGGACGCTAGAAGATCAAATGACAGAATCATCTTTCTCTCTTTACGTCAAATATAGCAAATTTTGATATATCTGCAGTTCAAATAATGTGTTTGTAAATACTATTTAGCCGATGTAATAAGGTCTAGTCCATGGTGGGTACTTCGTGGGAGTTGTTTTATAAATTCTGAATGTTTCCACTGGTTGAACTCAGAATATGAGTTCATATTTCAAGTGGAAGTTCATTCTTTCATGGTGTTTGATTCGGTTCGGTTTTAATAAAAAGAGTTTTAGTTTTTCGACTTGGTTTTCAGCTGGTTAAAGTTAACTCGAGATTCCGAAGTAGGCAAATGGAAATGAGGAATTGTTATATTGAAGGAAATCCAGAAGCGAAAATTGATATGACCAGAAAGAACCTAAGCAGAAGCAAATGTATCAAAGATGATGATGATTTTACATGTAAAGGCCTTCAGGGACGCCTTCTTTCTTCTTGAACATAACCTTCTCCTTGGCTTTCTTGAAATCCGGATGCATCACCTGAAAGAACCAAATCAAATACCAAAACACCCACCAAACATTAAGACTCCACGGTTAGTTATTGCACAAGTGATGCGTGTATGGTTTGAACAGAATGGTTACGAATCTATTACCTTCATACGACGCTCCCTGAGGGCAAGCAAACCAGCTTCCGTGCATATAGCCTTAATATCAGCTCCTGAGAACTCGTCTTTTGTCATCACAAACTCTTCCAGGTTTACATCTTCCGAAAGAGTCATCTTCGATGTGTGTATCTAGTTTTGAACAAAGACAGAAGCTCGATGAAAAATAAACTTTCTAACAAGCCATTGGTTTGTTTTGTCAGCACAGTTGAATTACCTGGAAGATGCGTCTTCTTGTTTTGATATCTGGAAGTGGGAACTCAACTTTCCTATCAATCCGTCCAGGTCGAAGAAGTGCCAGGTCAAGACTGTCGATTCTGTTTGTTGCAAGGATGACCTTGACGTCTCCTCTTGAATCGAATCCATCAAGCTGGTTCAGAAGTTCCAACATAGTTCTTTGGATCTCACGTTCACCTCCTGAGTTAGCATCATACCTGTTGTTTCATACAACGAGTAATCAGATGCCATCATCAACAAATTTACTTTGAAGCTCCTTACGGTTTGCCACAGCCGTATAGTACACGAACCATATTGCCAAGCTAATTACAAATGAACCAATGCTGAATTTGGAAACCATCTTCGAGTAAGTGCAGCAATGGTGTTCCTCCACGATCTTAATAACTATCTTCTCTTTCCATACTAC